TGGCAAACCAAAGTTAATTTTTTGCCTGTTAGCCATAACATAGCCTATATGTGTTCCTTTCAGGCATCTGCAGGATGTATACCAGGTTCACCCTTCCCTTTTCTCTTCACAATAACCCTGTCAGGTGGGTTAGGCTGGGAGAACGCAACTGGCCCAAGGTCACCCCACAAGCTTCGATAGCAAGTGGGGGAAACTGAACCCAAATCTCCCACATCCTAGGCCAGTAGGTTCAGCTCCTTTAAAAATAACTTCAGCAACTTAACAAATTCAAATGGCCTGATCTTCAATCCAAAAACGTCAGATTTAAAAAAGAAGAGACTGGATTTATGCCCCGGCCTGAAGGACTCTTAGAGCGGCTTAAAATCTCCTCCCCCTCCCCACAACAGACACCCTGTGAGGTAGGCAGGCCAAGAGAGCTCTTTTGAGAACTGCTCATGAAAGAACAGCTCTAAGGGAACTTGTGACAGACCCAAGGTCACACCAGCCAGCTGCATGCGGAGGAGTGAGGAATCAAACCTGGTTCTCCCAGATTAGAGTCCATGCTCCCAACCACTATACCAAGCTGGCTCTCGGGGAGGGAGACCCAAGAAGAATTTTTTTAATAACATTATTACCCTACCTTTCCTATCTGAATACCCGACATATAAATATACTATCCCTTTCACTTCAAAAAGTAAAAAAGCACTTTCCAAAATATATTGGTCTTATCCAGCAGGGTTCTTATGTTCTTATTCCACTGATACAGGATCCTAAAATGGCGGCTTAGCGGAGGCGTTATGCTCACGCTCCTGCTATTGAAACGGGAAGCTGAATAATAACAGCACAACAAAAACTAGCCGGCCTGGGAACATGCTGCTGAGCGAATCTGGGTTCATACCCGAGACCAAGTCGCCCCTTAGGCCCCTTAGGTGACCACCCTGGTCTCCACCCCCTCCAATGCGGACCTGAGCGGATCGAACTGGCCTGGTCATTGGAGCTCCGGCATTTGCCGCCAGGGCCTGGTGTGGGTCTGCCTCCGGTGCGGGCAAGGTGTGTGCGAGCGGCACGGCCGGAGCTCGGGTGGTACAGTGGCCAGTCTGGTGGAGCCGAGGAGTTGACGCGGTGGTAGCTGTGCGTTTGGCGGCTCAGCCCGGCTCGGCTGCGGCAGGCCTCGGGGCACCGGCGGGAGCACTGGAGGAGGGTTCTTTCCCTCTTGCAGGGCACCTGGGAGTGACTGGAGAGCAGGGGTTTTGTACAAGAACAACATGCTGACCTGGCGTGTGTGACCGAGATCTGGGGGCGGAAGGGAGAGACAGTAGCTCTCGCCCACCTGGGTTTTCGGTCCTCCATCAGTCACGGACTCTGGGGCGGGGGGAGGAGTGGCTATTTTCATTCGGGAGGCTTACTCCTTCAGAGCGCTCCTGTCGGTGGAGATCGTGGGCGTTGAATGTGTCGGCTTGATGCTGGAGGCTGAGGAGAGTTTGGCAATCTGGCTGGTGTACTGGCCACCTAACGCACCGGCCAGTAGCCTGCCATCCCTGCTGGAGGCTGTATCAGACTGGGCGCTGCTGATTGTCTTGGGTGACTTCAACATCCATGCCGAGGACACGGCCTCCAGCCGGGCTACAGACCTGGTATCGACCATGGCGTCACTGGGACTCTCTCAACTTGTTTCGGCTCCCACGCATCGGGCCGGTCACATGCTCGACTTGATCTTCGCGGCGGGGGTGAAGGTGGACCGGATCACTACAGAGGTAGTGCCATGGTCGGACCACCGGGCCCTGAAGGCCCGTCTGAAGGTTCCACCCCGACCCTGTTTAGGCAGTGAGCAGATTTATGCTCGCCCGCGGTGCCAAATGGACCCTTTGCGGCTCCAGATGGCCTGCGGGATCCGAGGCCCCCTGGCGGCTCGTTGGATGAGCTGGTGGAGGACTGGCATGTACGAGCCGTACTACGATGGCTCTCCTTGGCCATCGACGAGATCGCTCCCAGGTGCCCTCTCCGCACTTGTGCTAGGCGAGCGCCTTGGTAGACCCAAGAGCTGCGCGAGCTGAAGCGAGAACTGAGACGGCTAGAGAGACGGTGGCGCCGAGCTCGCGACGAAGCATCTAGAGCATCTTATAGGACGTTTATGAAAGCCTATGAGATGGCAGTCAAAGCCGCAAAGAGAGATTTCTGTGCTGTCAAGATTGCATCTGCAAGCTCACGGCCAGCCCAATTATTTAGTACATTTCGGTCTTTGACAGTTCTGCCACAGGGCAGACAAAACACTAGGGAATTGGATATAGGCTGTGAGGCATTCGCGAGCTATTTTGCAGATAAAGTCTCGGTGCTCCGCTGCGATCTCCCCGCCACAACTGAAACAGTGAGCGAACTTGAGGCCCCTTGCACGTCTTTGGTGCCGGGTTTAGAGCGTTTTGACCAGCTCAGTCTGGAGGAAGTGGGCAGATTGCTCGTATCGGTGCGTCCAACCACATGCAACCTTGATCCGTGCCCCTCTTGGCTCATTAAAGCAGGCCGCTAGGGGTTTCGAGGTGCCCTGCGGGAGATTCTCAACATGTCCCTCTCAGAGGGACAGTTCCCTGGGGCACTCAAGGAAGCGATGGTCCGCCCTCTCTTGAAAAAGCCATCTTTAGACCCGACCGAATTGGCTAACTATCGGCCGGTGTCTAATTTGCCCTATTTAGGCAAACTCATTGAGAGGGCGGTGGCGTTACAGCTACAGAGCTTTCTGGAGGATGCTTCCGTCTTCGATCCCTACCAGTCCAGCTTTCGCCCGGGTCATGGGATGGAGACGGTGTTGGTCGCCCTGACTGACCATCTCCGTAGGCATCTGGATCGGGGTGGTGTGGCAGCACTGGTGTTGTTAGATCTGTCGGCCGCGTTCGACACGGTCGACTACCAGCTGCTGGCCCACCACCTCACTGACACGGTGATTCAGGTGCTTGCCCTTCAATGGTTCGCCTCTTTTCTCCAAGGTCGGGGACAAAGGGTGGTGATAGGGGACCAGCAGTTCCAGTGACATCCCTGGAGTGTGGGGTGCCTCAGGGGGCTGTGCTGTCCCCAATGTTGTTTAACATCTACATGCGCCCCCTTGCCCAAATTGTCCGGAGTTGTGGGCTTGGGTGCCATCAATATGCAGATGACACCCAGCTTTATCTGATGCTGGCCAGCCGGTCGGACTCTTCCCTGGATGACCTGCATCGGGCGTTACAGGCTGTGGCTGGGTGGCTCAGACTGAGCCGGTTGAAACTAAACCCGGCAAAGACGGAGGTCCTGGGCCTGAGTTGGATCGGCTCAGGGTTGGGGCTCCCTCTCCCAATGGGGTGCCTTTGGTACCAGCATCGGAGGTTACGAGTTTGGGTGTGCGCCTGGACGCCTCTTTAACAATGGAGGCCCAGGTGGCAGCCACTGCCAGGGCAGCCTTTTATCATCTTCGGCTGGCTCGGCAGTTGGTCCCCTACCTTAGCCGTGAGGTCCTGGCCACGGTGATCCATGCAACGGTTACCTCAAGGGTAGACTACTGTAACACTCTCTACATGCCTTTGTCACAAATCCGGAAGCTGCAGCTAGTGCAGAATGCTGCAGCCAGGTTGTTGATGGGTCTCTCGAGGAGGGACCACATTCAGCCTGTGCTGAAAGCGCTGCACTGGCTGCCGATAGCGTACCAGATCCGCTTAAAAGTGCTGGTTCTTACCTATAAAGCCCTATATGGCCAGGGTCCAGCCTACCTGAGGGACCGCCTTTCTCCATATGTTCCCCCAAGGGCACTACGGTTGGGGGGTCGTCATTACCTGGAAATTCCAGGCCCCAAGGATATTAAATTTGCGGTGACCAGAGCCAGGGCATTTTCAGTGGCGGCTCCTACCGGGTGGAAGGAGCTCCCGGAGGAGATCCGGGCCCTGCGGGATCTTTCTCAGTTCCACAGGGCCTGCAAGACGGAGCTCTTCCACTAGGCTTTCGAGTAGGAGCCGCCACCACTATTATTCCATCATTGCCATCTATGCACTGTCGCACCATCACCACGACTATCTGGCCCCTTTGGTGGTGCAAGGTGCCCCTGGCAGGAAAAGGATGATAGATTTCGGGAAAGTTACCGTTGGATTTAAATCTACCCCATCTTGTGACAAATGGAGCACTGTGATTTTGTTACTGTATTTTACTTTTTTATATTAGTGCTTTTATTGTTTTAATCTTGGCACTTTGTGCCCTTGTTAGCCGCCCTGAGCCTTCGAGGTAGGGCGGGATACAAATCTAAAGATAGATAGATAAATAAATAAATGTGTTTTAAAGGAACGACAATAATAAGAAGAGATTGGATTTATACCCTGCCCTTCACTACCCAAAGGAGTCTCAGTGGCTTACAATCTTCTTTCCCTTCCCCTCCCCACAACAGACACCCTGTGAGGTAGGTGGGGCTGAGAGAGCTCTGAGAGAACTGCCCTTGAGAGAACAGCTCTGGAAGAACTTATGACTGACCCAAGGTCACACAAGCAGCTGCATGTGGAGGAGGGGGGAATCAAACCCGGTTTTCCCAGATAAGAGTCCATGCTCCTAACCACTACACCAAACAGGCTCTCGGGGGGGGGGGAGGCCCAAGAAGAATTATTTTTAAAACATTATTACCCTACCTTTCCCATAAGCTCAATAGACCACAACTCTGAAACGCACAAGGGGAAAACTGGTAGCAATGTCACAGATGTGTTGTGCATCTACCTTGCGACCAGCGAGCCAAGCCCTTCCTCCGTCCAGTAAAAAAATCACAGCCCTTCTGATCCCCAGTTCGCCAAATCAGTCAACGTGCTAACACTCTAGGGAACTTTTCCAGCAACACAATGCCTCTGAATACACATGGAGTCCTGTTACCTCCTCACTAATGAATAACCAGAGCCGCACTACAAGGCCAACCAGAACCCCAGGACAGGACCAAGAGGATATCCGGAAGGCTAAAAGAACACAAGGACAAACATCTGAAAAGGACGCATGTTGCTCCGTATTTGCCAAATCTGTTTTCTACTTACTTTCTTTGACTGCCGATTCAGAATGGCACACATTTCTTGTCAGAAGTGCATAAACTCTGACGCAGGTCTGCACCCTTGGCGTAGAACTGCATGTCTGGAAACGCCTCTCCCCAATGCAGCAATTTAAACAAGACCTCCAGAGCCTTTGGCAAAAGGCCATAAACCTCCCCTTTTAATTGCCACACTGCCTTGTCAAAACGGAAATCTAAATGGTCCTAAGAACAACAATAACATTTCTTATTACAGGGTTGCATCTATGGCTCATTTTCTGCCAGGGGAAGGGCATTTCCACTGGCAGAGAGAGGGGTGCCATAGCAGCTTACAGGAACCTCATCTGTCAAGAAAATAAGAGCTCTGGGAACCAGCAAGATCCAGGCTGAAGCTCTGACTTGCTCATCACCCACCTGTCACCCTTCCGTCTGCTGCTCCCAAGCAGCCCTTTGGCCTCTGTTCCGTTCCTGCATCACAGATCCTCTCCTTCAGCCCTCGGTGAGTTCGTCCAGAGAGCTCACCCTCACGCCTTCTTTCCATCTTTCATCTCACTTCCTTTTCTAGGTCTGACGACATTCCTGTCCCTTTCATAACCTCCTGTCACTGTTGGGCCCATCACACCTGAATCATACATCTGTGGGCACTTTTTTAAAAAAAACCCAAAAGGATCTGCCTTCCCCGGCTTCTGTGAGATAGAGTGCCAGAGCAGATAACAGGGGAATAAATCAAGATGACAAGAGAAACCACTGCTACGAAATGTCTCTTTAACTGCTCAGCTTCAAAAGAAAGTTCCCAAAGCATTCAAAGAATCTTGTTCTTTGAGGAGCAGCCTAAACCATGGGTGTCAAACTCATTTGTTATGAGGGCCAGATCTGACACAAATAACACCTTGTCGGTCTGGACCATTTGTGTCGTAAAATGTAAGGCCTAGTAGCAGAGATATTAAACTTTATAAAGGACACAAACACACTTAAAGATTTTTTAAAAACTTAAAACATTAGCACTTTTGCAATATTTTGTTTATTTAACAGTCTCTGATAACTGACACCTCTTGTTTTTAATTATTGCATCAAAATCTGGAGAGAATGTCTGTCCTGCAGCAATCGAGTATGCTGTTCAGGTGTTGTTCAGGCGTGTATCTGTAAGTTGCAAACCTACTTTTGATTTATTGACATTCACTACAGAAATCTCACAGTCAATGCTTTGAGTCTAAGACCCAGAGGAAAACATGAAATAGCTGGGCACTGTGAGCTTTAGTACATAAGTTGCTTCATATGCGGGTCAACATGTGAAGGCACCATGACACAGGATATGTGTTTGTAGTCTTCCCCAGAGAATAGCTACAACTCCTATGTGGCAGTGCAAGAATGGAGAGACAGCAATATATATCAGCCTACTATCTGGGAATTCTAGGTTCCAAATCCCCTGTCTAGAAAGGAAATGCGCTGGGTGAACTTGGTCTGGACACACACTCAGCCTAATCTACCTCACTGGCTTGTTGTTATTCCTCATCTAAATAGTTCACATTTCCTACTGAGAAAGGCTGGATCGTGAGGGCATGAATACAGTGAAAAATGGGAGGCAAACCTAGTTGTACCCAGGAGAGCCTTGGCATAATGAACCCAACAAAACTCTCACTCTCACACACATACACACACAACCAGAGGTCATTTCGGGGGGGATCGCGGGGGAACGCAGTTCCCCCGGGTGAGGTGCAGGGGGGCGGGGCACATGACGAAGCCCCGCCCCCCCGCTTCCGGCCGCCCCGCTTCCGGCCCTCATTCAGCCAGGAGGAGGCAGGAGAAGAGGGAGGGTAAGTTGCTTCCTCCCCGCCTCTCCCCACCCCTGCCTGCCTGGGGCCAGGGAGGGCCTTGGCGAGGCTTCCTTGCACTCCCGCTAGCCTTGCAGGTCCACCGCCGGGCCCCTGATGTCAGGGGGTGGGGCATATGCTAATGAGTTCTGCTAATGAGTTCCCCTAGCTCTTTTTCTACGAAATGACCCCTGCACACAACAAAGTTTTAGGTACAAAGAAGGAATGTCATTGTGCAGAGGGGGAAAGGAGAATGGCATGGGGAGAGGAAAAGAGGGGTTTGAACTGATAAGAGAACAGAGAGCTTCTGGGTGCATAGAGAAAGAAACAGAAGAAAGCCTATGCTATTGGGTCCAGACAGAGAAGAAAGTATACACTGGACTGGAGATAAAAAACAGGAAGATTGAGAGGGGTTGCAAGTAGAGAAGAGAGAAGATGCAAAAAGGTCATACCTTGAATAAAACTTTGTTGGTCTTAAAGGCGCTTCCTTTGTATCTCTCCCCTGTGATTGAGGGAACTGGGCAAAACAAGCCCAGGAGACGAAGAGAGGGAGGACCCTCAGCCAATGGAGGGAAGAGAGGCTTTGCTCTGTAGTTCTGCTGTGCGATTGAGAGAGCCTGGCAAAGCAAGCTGTGTCGCAGAAGAAAGCAAGCAAGAGGGAGAAGTAAGCAGATGGCAGCCAGTTGCTTGCGGGCCTGATACAACCCCTGTGGGGGCCGGATGTGGCCCACAGGCTGCATGATTGACACCCGTGGCCAAAACATTAAAAAAAACCTTTGCATTTTGTGTTGACCTTATTTAATTGCTTAAAAGAAGGAGCAGAAACTGTGTTTTAAAATGTTGTGATCAGGGCCCCGCACAGTATGATCGATCAGTTTAAAATCTTTGGAGCAAACTTAAAGGGACATCTCGATTAATCAGTCTTGCTTTCGAACTGCTAGGTTGGCAGGAGCTTGGACTAGAGACGGGAGCTCACTCTGTCATGTGGCACACTTGGGTCTCGAACTGCTGAACTACCCACCTTCCACAGCCTGCAGTTCAGCGTCTTAACCACTTGAACCACCGCAGCTCCTATTATTATTATTAGTAGTAGTAGTGGTTATATTTACAAATCGCCCCACCCTTGCTACTGCAGGGCTCTGGGCGATGTACAACCAGAGATAAAACAAGATAAAATTAATTAAAACATTAGTACAACATTAAAGGCAATCAGATGGCGATTAACCAATCCTCATTTCAACTCCCACTGCCAGCTACTTCATGGACACGGGGGAGGGGAGGAGGGCAAAATAGATGTAAACAACAGGGAATGGGAAGAATGCCAGCCAAGATAGAACCACTGCTGACCTCACTAAAATTCAATGCCCAGGCCAAACCCCTGCACCAAGAACGCTATAAGAAGGGGAGTGCATTCCTACCATGATGGGACCAGGGCTAGGGCTTTTTTGGTGGCGGCTCCTACCTGGTGGAATGAGCTCCCGGGGGAAGTCCGGGCCCTGCGGGACCTTGAGCAGTTCCGCAGGGCCTGCAAGACGGAGCTCTTCCGCCAGGCTTTTGAGTAGGAGCCGCCGCCCTACTATACCACCACCGTCAAGACATCTGAATGGAGGCATTGACAAGGCCCTAGGAAGAACTTGGAATTACATCGGAAAGGCCGTCGCCACTGGATATGTACGCTGAGAATACCAGCTCGAGTCGTGGGGATACCATCTTGGATCTAGGACACTAGTAACTGGATAGAGCACTTTAGTCTTGATGTTTTGATGTTTTTATATGTTTTTATTTATGGCTAGACTAATGATCTGGCCTCAGTTAGCCGCCCTGAGCCCACTGGGGAGGGTGGGATATAAGTGTAAAAATAAATTAAATAAATATATGAATAAATAAATGATGTCAAACCCCACTACGAAGAGATTTCTGAGAGACACGACCCCTAAGGGGGTAAAAAAGGGGCATGATGCGTTCCCCCAACTGTTTTCCATGTGCCTGGCGGGTTGCTGCATCCCCCCCCCCCCCCTAATTGGTCAACTGTGTAGCTCAGAGTTCTGAGGTAAAATCTGCCTCTTGCACCCACCCTCCCTCTGATTGCTCAGCTGCGGATCTCAAAGTTGTGAGGTAAAAACATAGTTAAAAGCGACTGCAGACAGTTGAGGACAGTTACAAAAATCAGCGATTCAAGACTCCTGAACAGACATTTCTCATAACAGCCAGCATGGCAATTGAGTTTATGAATGTTCATGGGGAGGTAGTAAAGGACCTTTCTAGGAGCCATTTCGATGCACGCCTCCCTCATGAACCCAAAGAAATGTCTACCACATCACCACTCCCTCAGCTCAACTCCTACTCACACCTCTCACTGCCCCCAAGAAAGCTCCTGGCAATTGCTGAGCCAGATACAGCAATGCTAAGAGGAGGAGGTAACTTAGGAATGCGGCAAAGACATTTGCACATAGTACTTCTTTATTTTAAGAAAGTTTTTTTTATTTTATAATAGATGAACAGACAAACAAACATAAATACACACAATCCGGGGTTTCATATACATCTTTGGTTTAACTTTTGTATTGCCTCATACATTAACTGTTTAAAATATTATTTATATTTATCACCGTGTACTTTAAAAAGTATTTTGCATTATGTTTAGATATACCTTCTATTATTTATTCTTATGCCGATATTGTTCATTTATTATAGTCTTTCAACCAATTATAAAATCTTGCCCATGTGTTTTCAAAACTAGTTTTATCTCGTCCTCTGAGAATTATAGTCAGTTTATCCATTTCAGCAGTTTCGAGTATTTTATTTATAGTCTCTTTTTTCAAAGTTTCTTCCTCCAATATTTAGCATATAATATTCTTGCAGTAGTTACTACTACATGTATAATAAGGTAAAAATCTTTTTTTTACAGTTTTTTGGCATTATATTCAGAAGAAGCAATTCAGGTATAAAAGGTATGGTACATTCCAACATTTTTTGTAGCATTTCATGAATCCATTGCCAAAAATTTTTAACTCTATCACAAGTCCACCACATATGAAAAATTGAGCGACATTGCCAAAAGTCATTTGGTAAATCAGGATAAAACATTGCTAATTTATCTGGAGTCATATCTCTCTTTATATATAATTGAGTTTTGGTCCTACAAAGTTCTATGCACTCCAAAATCAGTTGGCTCCGTGATGTGTCAATCACAAGGTGTCTCTATCCACTGGCTGTGTTGCCTGAGTTCTCTCCCACCCACTGCAGCCTAGGCCACTCTTCTCTGATTGGGCCAGCATTTCAAG